ATATTAAAAATTCAAGGGAACAGACGTGTATCCATATGTCTAACAAAAGAATGTTACAATGTTTATAGCACCACTATTCACAATGACCAAAAAATTGAAAACTACCTAAATGCCCGTCAATAGGAGAATGAATATACTGTGTTATATTAACAAAAGAAAATACAGAACAGCAATGATAATGAACGATCACTAATACATGGAAAACTATGAATGAGTCTCACAATGCTGAATGAAAAAAGTCAGACACAAAAGAGTATTGACCTTATGGTTCCACTTACACAAGTACAAAACAGGTAACATTAATCTATGCAGTAGAAATTCAGATTACTCTAGAAGAAATAATGGCCGAAAGGGAGCATAAAAGAGACTTTTAAAATACTGGTAGTTCTGTTTCTTGTATGAGTGCAGATTACACAGATATACTGGGAAAATTCACAAGCTGTATCGATATGATAGGTGCACTGTTCAGTATGTGTTATACTTCATTAAAAAGTTTTTTGAGGCTGGGTGCAATGGCTCACATCTGTAATCCCAGCACTTTGGGAGGCCAAGGTAGGACAATCACTTGAGGCTAGGAGTTTGAGACCCCACCCCAGGCAACATAATAAGACCCCCAACTCTATAAAAAATTTTAAAATTAGCTGGGCGTGGTGGTGTGTGCTTGTAGTACCAGGTACTAAGCAGGCTGGCCTAGAACTCCTGGGCTCAAGTGATCCTCTCACCTCAGCCTCTCAAGTAGCTGGGACTACAGGCACATGCCACTGCGTTTGGCGTGGGAATTTACTTGAGAATTTACTTTAACACAGTGTGACTGTGAAGTCACAATGAAAAGTCAAGCCAGAATTATTCTCTAAGTTATGTGACTCAAAAAATGTGCCACAGCTGAGTAAGCAATGAAAGATTAGGCACACAATGAGTTTCTTAGGAACATTTGTTCAAAATAATTATATGGGATTTCTACTTATGATTCTTTTATAACCAGTATTTATGATACATTAAAGTCAGAAAATTTTTTTAAGTAGTTAAACATAACTGTAAGGAAGTTTTCAAAATTTTAGTCTAACTAAATTACTACAACTCATAACTAAAAATGAAGATATCTTATTTAGGAAGAAACAAGTAAAATGTATGTTCAATATTTTTCACTTTTCAAGCCTCCACTCTTCCTTCCTCTCCATTCTCAGCAAGTGACCTTGCTACTTTGAGAAAATAGAAACATGGTCCCATTACAACCTCTGCCAATCCACCTGTACTTGAACCTGAATTTCCTCCTCCTATGAATGAACTTTCCATGCTAAGGTTAACCTCTCCACTTGTGTACTGAATTCCACTTCCCCTCTATGTTCTTGCATTGTCCCCTATTCTTCCATATCAATTCTTCTTGCCTACCAGAGCATCTTCATCAGCACACAAACTTGCCATATCAATTTCCATCTTAATACAAAGAATTCTTCTCTGTAGGCCCCATTCCTGAATTCCCTTCTAGCTACTGCCCCACTTCCCTGCTGTCCTTTACAGCTAAACTCCCCTGAGTTACCATTCTCTCTTGAGCCCACCTTCAATCTGGCTTTCATTTCCACCTCTTTACTGAATCAGCTTTCATCAAAGCCATAAAAAAACTAAATGTTTTCCAAATGTAACAATCAACTCTCAGTTCACAACTTACTCAAACTTCCAGCAGCATATGACACAGCTGATCATTCTCTCCTTCTTGGAATACTTTCTTCTCTTGGCTTTCCTGCCTCACTGACCATCCTTTCTCAGTCTCTTCTGCTGAATCCTCCTCATTTTCTCAAACTCTGAACATTGGAGTTCCCAGGGGTCAAACCTTAAACTTCCCCTTTTCTCTATCTCTAGTCACTTCCCAGATGATCTCATTAACTCTCATGGCTTTAAGTCATCTATAAACTAATGACTCTCAAATACATATTTCTAGGCCAGACCTCTATTCTGAACTCCAGACACATCTCTCCAACTCCTTATTCAACATCCCTGCAGATGCCTAATAGGCATCTCAAACATAACATTCCCCAACTGAACCCTTGAATTATTTCCCCAAACCTGCTCCTCCCAGTCTTCTCCCGCTGTTCATGCAAGAGATATCCTTGGCTCCTCTGTTTCTATCATGTTCCATGTCAAACCATCCACAAAGCCTATTGTCCCTTCCTTTTAAGTATACCCTAATCTAAACCATTTTCATTTCTCACCGGTACTGTGACAACAGATTCCTAACTGGTCTCCTGTTTCTGCCCTTACCCCTCCTTTACCTCCCAACCCTGTACGACAAGCACAGATATCCTTCTGAAATATAAATCAAGAACTTCTTACCCTCAGCAACAGTAGGCTAATTTGGACCAACCCTATTACTAAAAACAATTAAAAATTCTAGGTTAAAAACAAAAAACATTAACATTGGAGAGCTACAAGATAGTAAATAATTACTAGGCCAAAACTGAAATAAAACAGAAACCTCAAGGTAAGCAGAGGTAAGTAAAAAATTGCAGGTACTTTTATCCTAAAGTCATTTGACAACCCAGGCAAATCTGAACTTTGGTTTCAATAACTTCACAATGAGAAGGGAACAAAATTAAAAGCCTGGAGCTCATCCAAGGTGGAGAGTCTAATAGGAGA